ATTTGCACTCTGTGAAACATGGCTTTCTTCTGAAGATGAACTCAACTTCCACGATTTTAACATTATCCGCCTGGACCGAGATGATTCATATGGTGGCGTACTTTTGGGGATCAAAAAGTGCTACTCTTTCTATAAAATCTCAATCCCAATAATTTCAGGCATTCAAATTGTCGCTTGCCAAATAAATGTGAATAACAAAGATCTTTGCTTCTGTATATGTCCCTCCAAGGACTTCCATAAACCGCCGTCAGCTTTGGAGTTCAGTTAATATCTTTCCATCTCCAGTTCTAATACTGGGCGATATGAACTCACACGGTACTGGTTGGGGCGAATCATACGATGACAATAGAGCGGGTATTTTCTATGATTTGTGCGACGATTTCAACTTGACTATCTTGAACACTGGTGAAGCAACACGTATAGCAAACCCTCCTGCTCAAGAGAGCCGTCTTGACATTTCTTTGTGCTCTAACTCACTATCATTAGATTGTCTGTGGAAGGTTATCAATGATCCCCATGGTAGTGATCATTTGCCAATTATTATTTCAATCAAAAGTGGTCGTCTAAAAACAGATCAGTCAATTCAAGTTCCTTTTGACCTCACGAGGAACATTGATTGGCAAAAATTTGTATCAGCGGTAACTCTTGGTATTGATTCTACCGATCCTCTACCACCACTGGAAGAGTATCGTTTCTTTACCGAACTAATCTACAAAAGCGCATTAGAAGTTCAGAAACGACGTGTTCCAAGTGCATTCCTCAAAAGAAGACCCGCCACCCCTGGATGGGATGACGAATGCACAAAGTTGTATCTTGAGAAATCCGATGCCTTTAAAGATTATCGTAGACATGAAAGATCTGAGCTTTTTGAAAAGTATCTAAAGCTTGAAAAAAAGCTTAAAAACTTACTAAAAGCAAAGAAACGAAATTACTGGCGTACTTTTATCGAGGGACTTTCTAGAGAAACCTCGATGACAACGCTTTGGAAAAAGGCTCGCTATATGCGAAACCGCTCATCTTCCAATGAGAGTGAAGAATACTCCTCCCAATGGATATTCGACTTCGCTAAAAAGGTTTGTCCAGATTCTGTTCCAGCACAACCAACTTTACGGGATACAGCCCGAAGTAACGGTTCTCTGAATGAACCATTCACAATGCTGGAATTTTCAATGGCACTTCTTTCATCGAATAACTCTGCTCCGGGAAGCGATATGATCAAATTCTACCTACGCAATTTGGTTTCCGGAAGAGTAAAGAACAAACGATTGTCTAGCGATGCTTTCATCTGATATTCAACTGGCCTTTGCGCACAAGGAGCAATTGGCTTCAGTCTTTTTGGATATTAAGGGCGCATTTGATTCGGTTTCCATAGACATACTGTCAGACAATTTGCACAATAGTGAATTACCCGGTATTTTGAATAATTTCTTGTATAATTTGCTGTCAGAAAAACAAATGAACTTTTCCCTTGGACAACTGACAACTTCCAGAATTAGCTACATGGGCCTGCCCCAAGGATCATGTCTCAGCCCTCTTCTTTATAACTTTTATGTCAAAGATATCGACAACTGTTTGGCAGAACAATGCACGCTTAGACAACTTGCAGATGACGGTGTGGCTTCCGTAAGAGGTCCACATGCTGTGGACTTGCAAGGACCATTGCAAAGTTCCTTAGATAACTTGTCTTCTTGGGCTAGGAATCTAGGGATCGAATTCTCGCCGCAGAAAACTGAACTAGTAGTGTTTACTCGAAAGCGGTACCCAGCCCAAATGCAGCTTAATCTTTTGGGCAGAAACATTACTCAATCATTGTCTTTCAAGTACCTTGGGGTCTGGTTTGATTCAAAGTACACGCAAATTGAACGGAGAAAGTTGATCCTCTGCTGACATTTTTGCTTCAAATACGTAATATGGGTATTCCATATTACGTATTTGAAGCAAAAATGTCAGCAGAGGATCAACTTTCTCCGTTCAATTTGCGGCACATGGTGGGATACTCATCCGGGAGACCTCATAACGCTTTATAAAACAACAATTCTCTCTGTTCTAGAGTACGGCTCTTTCTGCTTCCTCTCGGTTAGAAAATGTCACCTAATAAAATTGGAACGAATTCAATATCGTTGTCTGTGTATTGATACTATTATTATCCCGCGTATTTTTACTGAAAAGTACCAACACGTAAATTGCGTGAAAATATATTTTACAGACGGGTCACGTCTCAATGGATCCACTGGCTTCGGTGTCTTCAATGAAAACTCTAGCGCCTTCCGCAAACTTCAGGAACCTTGTTCTGTTTATGTTGCTGAGCTGGCAGCAATCAACTTCGCATTGGGGATGATTTCCGATATGCCCATAGACCATTACTTCATCTTCTCGGATAGTCTCAGTTTGATTGAGGTGCTGTGCTACTTGCCCCTGCCCAGCCAGGATTTGGTCAAACGTACGAGAGTAGTATCTGAAGGAGGTTTCAGAAACCAGTTTCCTACCTAGATCCTACCAATTGAAATTGTTACCCATTAACCTCGAGTCCGCCCCGAGTAATTGGTACCCAATACTAACCTAGAAATACTGCTATTTAAAATGTAAATTAAACATAACTGATTTTGGCTCCGCAAAGTGTCACACACAACTGAGCCTAGAAAATAAACGAACTAGCTAAAAAAAAAATCCCCACGTATTGATTGACTTTTACCGAAGACAACAAATCAAGAAGACTGGCAACTCTTCCATTTTCTCATACGAACGCTATGAACCAGGTACAATCGCGTCATCTGCCGCTCAAAGGTAAATGCTTCGAACGAATTTGATAGCAAAGATTACATCCTCAGAAGAAGGGTTTGTGTATTTGCTCATTTTTCTATTCGTTGCTTCCACCTTACTCAAGTGCAGCGCCATTGTATCTGTCGCTTGATTGTGCTACATTTCCCCGAATGTCACATCCCCGAACGCCATTACCCCGAATCCCAGACTAACATATACCCCATTTCCCCGAATGCCATTTCCCGAATGTAATTTCCTCGAATGAAATCCAAAAATTTATAAAATACTTTGATTTTATTACATTTCTAAGGTTGGTTTCGCGAGCATTGAGAAGACATCTTTGAATATTGCAACAATTAACCTTAAAAGAACAGCTCATGATTAAAAGGAGAGAAGATCTCTGTTCAAAGTAAATCAATGGGGCGAGAGTTTTAGTGAGGCGGCGGCAGTACGAGAAGTGGAAGTGTATAAATTGGTAATATATTTTTAGGACATTTTCCCTTATTTTATACATGAGCAGTTTTTTCGAGAACTTTGGCAAAACTAATATCGATGATTTGACAGATTGGTAATAAATTTTTAGGAGATTTTCCCTTCTTTTTAAATTTATTCAAGATCTTTCAGCCGTAGACGTATTTTACCCTTCTTTTATAAATTTTTGTTCGAAAACTTTCTCAAAACTTGTGAGATTGACGGTTTGAAAAATTGGTAATGTATTTTGAGGAAATTGTTCCCTCTTTTATAAACGAGCAGTCTCGAGAACTTAGACAATATGTGAGGTCGATGGATTTAAAAATTGATAACATATTTTTACCAGATTTTTTATTTTATAAATTCAAATCGAGGAATTTGGCAAAACTTGTGAGCTATATGATTTGACAAATGAATCGAGGAATGCTGTGAATTTTACACTCACAACTACTGACAGCATAGCACTACCTTCTATGGACGAAAAGTTAAACTGAAAAATAATGTATGCAGATTTCAACATTTTTATTAAATTTTCGTTTGTGGAGGCGAAAAAGAGAAAAAAAATATTTGGTACAGAAGGTGGCTTATGCCAATATTTTTTTTTAAAGGGTCAAGAAAAAGGCTCTAATTTAATAAAATAAACATATTCCGGTTGTCTGCGTACAAAACAAATCGCCATAACTTTTGTTTATTACTGTTACTGTTGAAATTTGGTTGCAATAATTTCCGAAACAAGTTTTGCTAAATTTCCCGAAAGAACTGCTTATGTAAAAAAGTAGGAATAAACATATTTTACCATTTTGTCAAACCATCGATCTCTCATGTTTTTCCAAAGTTATCGAAAGAATTGCTCGTAAATAAAAGAAGGCAAAATCTCCTTGAAATTTATAACCAATTTGTCAAACCGACGATATTTTGCCAAGTTTTTTGTGCTTTTTGGTTTTGGTCTGTCTTTTTGATTTTGGATTATTATTCTATATATAAAAATGAAAATGCTTTTAACGGCTCAATACATTAATATAGGGGAAAGAAGGGCATAGTGAGCATCATGTGCTTTGGCAATGCGTTTCTAGCTACTTGAAGCAAATTAATTGGTAGTTGGGTTAATCTCATAAACCTTCCATTTGCATGGCTTGAAATTTAATCTGGTTTGCAATCTGCTCACTATGCTCAAAATATAGTAAGAAAATTGCCAGCAATAACGGTTGGAAATTTCTTAACTTTTTTTTCGGGGGTATGGCATTCGGGGAAATGGGTATTCGGGGAAATGGCGTTCGGGGAAATGGCGTTCGGGGAAGTGACATTCGGGGAAATGTAGCACAATCCTGTCGCTTGGATTCTAGCAAAGTTGCCAGTCTTCTTGATTTGTTGTCTTCGCTTTTACACAACTGTTTATAGTTACTTCATCCAGGTCATATCAGGCATAATATTTGATAACGGCACAAAAGCATTTGTAAACAAACTTTCTAAGGCCCTTTACACGCTGACCAAAGTACGCCCACGCAAACCAATACCACTTTCGGAAGGGTGAGAGTTGCCCCTATCCGATGATGTTGTTGGTTTGCGTGAGCGTATTTCGGTGCGCGTGTAAAGGTCCTTAAAAAGTTTGTTTACAAAAACTTTTGTGCCGTTATCAAATGTTACGCCTGATATTATATATTCGTTGACAGCGGCGTCATTATGATAAGCGTGATTACCTCTCACCCCAGCAGGCCTGGGTTCAATCCCAGTCGGCGCCGCCGGGATGTTCTGAGGCATAACATCACGCCTTCCTTCGGAAAGGATGTAAATCCGTTGTTTTCCGGTTCATGAGTTGATGGGTCAATAGGTAGGGTCCAGGTGTGGGAGCTGCCTTCCTGGCGTCGGTAGCATTAGTGCTCAGCATGGAAAACAAGATCGACGGAAAACAAATCAAAGGAAAAAAAAACACAATTTTTTACGAAATTCTGAGAACCACTACCTATATCGTTCTGCTGTATGTACAGCACTTCTATAGAAAAAAGTTATAAAGTGTTTCAGAATTTCATGAAAATTGGTAGAGTCCTTATCAAAACATATTGTACTAGTACATTTTTACTCCGTGTTAGGGTGGTCCGAAAAATCTATTTTCAAAAATGCCTTTTTTCAAATTCATAGCTTCTGAACCTCTTGACCTATTTTTACGGTTGACCCTTCAAATGAAAGATGTTTTAATTTAGCCTATTGGGCTGGATCTTATTTAAAAGTCGTTGCGTACAAACGAGTGATTCACCTATGAGTTATAGCTTGCACTCGTAGCTACTGATTCAATATGCAAATAGATTTAGGCATTGCTGCTGTGTTGAATTTTTTCGCAACTTGTCACGGAAAGGAGTGATGCTTTGGAATGAGTATTGAAACGAAACGCTATAAACTTTTAAAATTTAAGAAAAGTATACGATGGAGAAGGTAGGATCTGCAATGTCTCAAGCTTGGTCTACGTACCCAGCTTGTAAGTTACTCATAGATTTCGTTAATCACAGCTGCTGTGACTCGATGGAGACGCATTGTGAACTACCTTGGGTCATGTTATGCATTGAGTGCAAACAGCCGACCAACATACGACCTCTTAAGGAAACCACACCGTCATCTGCAAGTTGTCTTACCTGTCGATATCTTTGACATAAAAGTTATAAAGAAGAAAGCTGCGACATGAGTCTTGGCACAGGTCCATGTAACTAATTCTGGAAGTTGTCAGTTGTCCAAGAGAAAAGTTCATTTGCTTTTCTGACAAAAAATTGTACAAAAAATTATTTAGAATTCCAATAAGTCCACATCTGTGCAGATTGTACAAGGGCATGGTTTTCGATATGTCAATTTTTGACGTGTGGCGTGACGTGTGACGTGTAAAAACAGACTCCAGTATATATATAATAGCAAACCAGCGCTTTTCAGACATTTTTGAAAACCCACTTACAAAGGATTACACGATTGGAACTTTTGCCCCGCTGCCTCAATTTTTTCTTGTCAAATGCTCCTGAAATTCCTTCACGAGAAATGCAATAGAGATTGCTGACGGCTATCGTACGCACACTACGTCACGTACACGTATACGTAAAATGTTTTCATCAGGAAAAAAAACTTCATAGCGAAAATTTTTGCTGATGAAAACAAATCACTGACACAATCACACATTTGCAATCTCTATAATGCCCTGCACTGTAACTTGAAATTAGCCATTAATAAGTAAGATATGACCCATTTTGAGGAAGGGTAAACATTTACCAATTAATGAGTAACTGCTACCTATCAATTTACAAAATACACTCCTTTATGGGTACCAGTAACTAATTAATGGGTAAAACATTTACCCATTGAAGAGATGTATCCACTTTTCCTCAAAATGTCTGAAAATGTACTCATTAATAGGTACTTCCAAGTTAGAGTGTGAAACACAATTATCCCTTCGCCTTCACTATTGATTTGGTCGAGTTCTACCAGTTCTACACGGCAAAGTTGACACAAAATATATGACGCATTTCGCGTCAAATCGAATCGAAGCTGGCAGCACCCTCTCAGATTTCAATAAAATTTTCTGGATGTGTAGACTTTGAATAAATAAGCACTTTTGCATACTCAGCCACTACTGTTTATTTCTCTTCGTTTCTCGATACAAGGTGAAAGCTGCTGCTGCTGCGAACGGATGCTCGGTTGGATTCAAACTTAAACTTATACACGCTACTGCGGGGATTTTTATAGAACGGCACCGACCGTTTGCTCGTTGCTGATTGGTCGACGTTTTTCTCCTCTCTTTCGGCGGTAGGCGGAACATCCTCCCCCCGGTTGAGAGATCTCAACACCTTTTGGAAGTCGGAGGGTTTTCACGGGAATCATTATCCTCGATGGGCAGAATGGACACCTTATTGATGGGACGTCGATACCTGGTTCCATTTACGAAGACATCAACTGCTCGAACCAGGCCGTCGGTTCCAGGATAGACGACTACGATGCGACCTAACTTCCAGTTGAGTGGTGGTTGGTTACGATAGTGAAGCAACACGATCATGTCTTTCCGAATGTTCGACTTCTCCTGTCGATTTTTCATCCGAGGCTGCAAGGTATTCAAATAATCCCGGCTCCAGGCACGCCAGAATTGCTCGCGCATAAGTTGGAGATGTTGCCACCGTGTCAAGCGGGATGCTTTGACGTTCTCCAGGGAAGGTTCAGCTGGGGCGATCAGCGGTCGTCCAATCAAATAATGCGCTGGAGTTATCACCAGCGGGTCCGCCGGGTCGTTGGAAATTGCGAACAATGGTCGGGAGTTCAAGACGGCCTCGATTTCTGACAGGATCGTACACAATTCCTCGAACGTTAGATTCGTATTGCCGACTACCCGCTTCAAATGGGTTTTGGCCGACTTCACGGTTGCCTCCCACAAACCACCGAACTTGGGTGCGTCGGGTGGAATGAAATTCCACTCAATCTCATGATTGCGGCAGAAAGATTCGATGGTGTCCACGGCGTGTTGGTCACAAAACTGCTGGTAAAGGTTGTTCAATTCGTGGTGAGCACCACGAAAATTGGTTGCGTTGTCCGAATGGATTTCTTGGACCATTCCACGGAGAGCAATAAATCGTCGAAGGGAGGCCATGAAAGCATCGGTACTCAAATCGGAGACGCCCTCCAAATGGACGACTTCACCAAAGTTGGACGACGTGCGCCTTGCTTGGTCCAGAAAGGCCCGGCGTAATCCACGCCGGTCACAGCGAAGTGGGGTGACGGAACTACTCTCGATACTGGCAGGTTTCCCATCAATTGGTTGGGAGTGGTAGGATTAGTCCGGAAGCATCTCACGCACCGGCGTGTGATAAATCGGATGGTGGATCTTGCGTTCAGCAACCAATAACGTTGTCTCATGGCGTTCATCAGGCCCGTTTGCCCGACGTGAAGGAGCTCGACGTGCATTTGTTGAATTAGTAGTCATACTACCGGATCCTTATCTGGCAGAATGATTGGATGGCGACTTTTGAATGGTAATTGGGAGCGATCCAACCGACCACCTACTCGAAGCAGTCTGTCGTGGTTAATTGGACGAAGACCTCCGAGTCTCTTGCAGGATTTATTTGCCAGAATTAGCTTAATCTCGGCGGAGAAATGTGCTTTCTGCAAAACTTGCATGATGACTTCAGATGAGCGGCGATAGGAAAGTCCTCACCATCGTCTTCGATGAGCTTCAGCAAACACCTGGTTGCTTGATATGGTGCCGATGCCGTACCGTACGTAACGGTACAGAGTTCCAGGACTCGTAGGGGTAACGATGGGTGCTCTCTCCAAAAGATTCGAAGGAAACTACGATCCAACAGGGCTTTGAGTATTTGACGGTACATTTTAGAGATGTCTCCGGTGATGGCAACCTTGAATTTTCGGAACCGTAGCGCGATATGGTGCAGATCGTTCTGTACTACTGGACCAACTTGCAGTACATCGTTCAGGGAGAGTTCCGATGGCGACAACACTTGCGTCGAACACGACTCGACATTTCGTACTCGAGCTGGACGGACGTAACACTGCATGATGCGGCAAATAGTAGGTTTGCTTGTTGGGTGGATCTTCAGACTCGCTGATCTCGGTGCAGTGGCCGAGACCTTCGAACTCCCGGATGAAGTTCACGTACTGAGCCTGCAGCTCGGGATTGCGGATTAATCGCTTCTCCAACATCAGGAATCTTTTCAAAGCTAGACTGCGACAGTTATCCAATTGGAGAAGATTGTCCTTGAACGCCAGTTTCACGATGAATCTTCCAGTTTCGTCACGTTGGTAGGTGGAAAGGAAGTGGGCTTCGCATGCTGCTTCCTCGGTCGACAGCTTGGGAACGTCCGGCACCTCCTCGACTTGCCAGAACCGGTGCATCCTTTGCTCAATGTCTTCAACGGCTGTGTTGGATTGGAGTGACACGTTTGACACGAGCTGATCATTGATGGCACCTGCTACGATCCACCCCAGATAAGTGTCTCGCAATTGTGGAAGACCTTCGGCTAGGCTCAGCTGACCAGGTTTCAGGATATCGAAGAATAACTCCCCACCGATCAGCAAGTCCACCTTATCCGGACTGTGGAACTTGGGATCAGCTAGGATTACCCCTTCAGGGATCGTCCATTTGGTGATGTCTATTCTCGATGCAGGGATTGTGCCGGTCACTCTCGGGGTAACCAGACACTCGAGGCTTGCGAGGAAATTGGATACACGGAACCTGACCACCACCTTGTCTCGGGCGAGGGACCGTAGGGCCTTGATTCCCACGATCGGAACGTTGACTGGTTTCTTTGGGAGGCCTAGGCGGTTAACCATCTCTTCGGTTACAAAGTTGACTTGGGAGCCGCTGTCCAAAAGTACCCGACACGGATATGGCTGGTTATCTTTATCCAAGACATGTACCGTCTTGGGAAATGAGACAACATTCGACGAACAGGTTGTTGACACTGGTGGATGGTTTTGCGGATGGATCTTCGATGGTGGAAGAGCTTGCTTCTGTTTCAAGCAGGATTTGCTAGTCTGGAATGCCGCCTCACAATTCTCGAGGATTTGGCACCTGGACTTCAGGAAGGCGATGGTTGGTTCGTATTTGGGAAGATGTCCTTTTTTCTGGATCCCTTCCCAGGCTTTGCAGGTCGATTTGTCGAGCGCGGAGACGACCTGATACACAATCATGCGCTCCGAAACGCCAGTGATCTGCTGCTGGAGGAACTTCAGGCTCTCGACGTGGTGAGTAACTTCGGTTAGCATACCTCTCAGCTCCTTATGAGTCTCCGATGACATATCTCGAAGTGAAAACAGACCACGAGAACCCGCTTATTTTCGTAGCGATCCTCCAAAATGTCCCAAGCTTGTTGATAATTCCCTTCACTAAGGATCTTGGTATTCAAAACACCAGCTGCATCTCTGATGAGCGCCTTATCGAGGTGATACAGTTTTATGGCGTCTATATCCCCCGAGTGAGCCATCAAATCCTGAAAGACGGCTTTGAATTTAGGCCACCCAGAGTAATTGCCATCGAATGTTGGAATTGGTGCGCTGAGCGGCTGCTGCTGGACGACCACCTGCGGGTTATGGACGGTTCTCGGCGATGGAGTGGCTGCGTTCGCTTGTGCTTCCAGCAACAACTCCTGTACGGCATCGGTAACGTTGTTGTAGAGATCTTCGAAGTTGGCATATTCATGTTCCTGCTCGTCCAGCGCATCATCTGGAAGAAGCGCCAGTCCTTTGCTGTGGAATCCGCTGTACTCAGTGTACCCAACGGACAGATGCTTGGACATATTTGTCAGTTGCACCAAAGTCGGTGGCTTTCCACTAATGAGAGAACGCCGAATGCGCACAATCTTTTGCTTCACTTGTTCACGTTGCCTGGATATTCCCTGCCACTATTTTGCAGATTCATGATCCATTGCTGCTTCCCATTCGAAGCCGTGAAATGAACCGGAACTGCTAACTGGCGACCTAGGGATAGGGTTCCCTTGCTGGTTTTCTTCAGCGTCTACTGGTGCCATTTATGACACCAAATCTCGAAACCACAACAAAACGTATTTTTTTCCGAAAACGCACTTCTCACTCGCGCACGTTTAAACACGTTCGTTCTAAATGCTCCGCGTCGAGTCGCAAGCGTAGCAGCAGAAGCAGTTGTTTCGTTTTAGTTGGGTACAGTTTGTGTGTCGTAGCACGTCAGTTTCCACTCAACGGGAACGGTTGCTTCGGAATGGCTCGTGATCCGGTTCGTGACGGACCAAATTGATGTTCCTTCTGAACTGGTTTTGTTAAGGCAAAGTGGACTGTACTGGGCGGTAGCGAACGGAGTTGGCTAGCGTCAATCGAAGTTCTAAACTCAGGAGCTCTGAAAAGAGCTGGGGGGTTTGACGCTGCTCTCCGGGACACCAATGGACATGCAGTAGAAATGACGAATGCTGCCGACTACACTAGACACTATTGTTTATTTCTCTTCGTTTCTCGATACAAGGTGAAAGCTGCTGCTGCTGCGAACGGATGCTCGGTTGGATTCAAACTTAAACTTATGCACGCTACTGCGGGGATTTTTATAGAACGGCACCGACCATTTGCTCGTTGCTGATTGGTCGACGTTTTTCTCCTCTCTTTCGGCGGTAGGCGGAACACCAGTGAAACTCAAAATCATCTCAGAACCCAATGAAGCTCCATTTGTGATTCAATTTTCTCTAATCAGCAACTAATCACTTGGATTAATCGAGAATTCCATATGAAAAGGGCTTATATCATTAGAAAATAATATAATTGATTATATTGTCTACTACTGAGGCAAAATCCGATACTCCTATAGCAATTTAGAATTCTTAGCTCAAGTTATCCATAAAGAATTAGGTATGAATAAAATTTAAATTGAGATCTTCTTTCGAATCAACAACGATTTGGGAAGTCAACGTATCGCATCATAATTCTATATGCCCTTCTGTTATTTATACCTAAACCATTAACATTATATACCTACTACTTCATTCTACCAATGAGCACTATAAAACTAAGGTTGATTTCATACAAGCAGCAGTCAAGCTGAGAACAAAAGTTGTGAAGACAAGTTGTAGTAAAATTATTATCATGGACCAAAGTAGTCAATTAAGACTCAAAGGATTGAAATGTTGTACAAATATAAATAATCCGAGATGCAACCGAAATAAGTTACGGGCCATATCGTCAACGATGGTAGAAAAAATACATTCTATGGGATATAACCACGAAATTGATGAAACGATGAGCATTTGTGAGTCATGCCGTAGCGTGATATCTCATAATTGAAGTCCAGTTATGAAAAAATGCCGATCGGTTGGAAATGAAGTAAATATCCAACCGTTAACTAGTGGGCAGCAGCATAGTGATGATCCAGGTCCATCAATGAGTGGCCATCAATCCGTAGATGAGCTAGGTAAGAACAGTCATCCTGATGATTCTATCAACTTTTAACTGCATCCTCCTAATTGCACTTATTAATTATTTTTTCTTCTTCTTTCCTTCAATACGGTACCATCGGTTCCATCATTTGAGTCAGTTCCATCAGCAGATAATCTGCAACGCCCATACAATGTTTAGAAGTTTCATGGCTTTGTGGAAACGTTGAATTTATTTCCAATTTCATCGAGGAACATGAGGAGCATGGATTATCGTTCAATACAATCTCTAGAAATTACACAAGCAGTGCAAAAATATATTTGGCCTAGATACAGCAGACATTAGCAGAGTAGAGGCATACGAAGAAATGATTGTGCAGCTAAAGGAGAAGTTCAATTCCCCTACAGCTGACAGAAAAGATCCGATAATAGTATTATCAGTATTGCCAAAGTCTTGGTCCGTGAATAAAGTTGTAGCAGAATTCAACGCACCAACGTACATGGTGAGGCAGGTGAAGAGCCTTGTTAATGAGCAGGGTATTCTAAGCACACCCAACAAAAGAAGTGGACATGGGATCAACGATGATACAAAAAAACTAGTTAGGGAATTTTTTTGATGACAATGATATTAGTAGACCTATGCCCGGAACAAATGATTTTGTTTCCGAGTTTAGAAATGGACGAAAAGAACACGTTCAAAAACGCCTGTTAATGATGTCCCTCGAAGAAGCGTACATGATTTTTGTTGATAAATATAAAGATATTAATATTGGTTTCACTGTATTTACACAATCGCGACCAAAACATTGCATTTTGCTTGATTCTACTGGTATACATAATGTATGTATTTGTACAATTCATGAAAATGTAAAATTAATGATCAACAGTTTAAGAATTATGTCACAAGATGCAATAATAGAAAAAATGCTTTGTAATTTTTCTACTAGAACAACTGATTGCTTTTTCCGTGCTTGCGAAAAGTGTGCTTCCAATGAACATATTGAAGAGGAACTTACATTGCTATTAGAATCAAATGACAAACAAGATGTTGTGTTTCAACAGTGGCTGAATACTTTTTTTTTATTGTAGTCATTTTAACACTCTTGGGTCATTCGTGACTTGTTCGGGGGTGAGATTTGAACTCGTGACTTTGGCGTGAGAGGTATGGATGTTAACCACTACGCCGGGGTCGCCCCCTTGGCTGAATACTGATCGTTATAATTTGGAAACCATTATCAAGCCTGTTGATGAATTTGTTCCGTATCTCATTGATAAAATTAACAAACTTATAACTCATGACTTTATTTACAAACAACAGTCATCTTTTCTAAGAAATAAAAAAGAATCATTAAAAGAAGGCAAAATTCTAGCAATTTGTGATTTTTCTGAAAATTATTCATTCATTATCCAAAACGCTGCTCAAGGATATCACTGGAATAATTCTCAAGCAACAATACATCCATTTGAAGTTTATTATAAGAAAGAAAATAAACTTGAAAATGTTAGATTCATTATCATATCAGAAGTAATGACTCACGATACAGTTGCAGTTCAGTTGTTCATCTCAAAAATGATAGATTTTATTAAACAATCGATAGATTTTTCTAAAATTACTTTTATGTCAGATGGGGCAACATCACAATACATAAATAAAAAAAAACTTTGCTAGTCTGTGTAGATTTCAGTCAAAGCATGAATTAGAAGCAGAATGGCATTTTTTGGAACTTCTCATGGAAAAGGTCCCTGTGATGCCATTGGTGGCACTCTCAAGCGAATGGCAAAGAGAGCTAGTCTTGCCCGAGATTATGGAAACACCATAACAACTCCACGAGAATTATATAGCTGGGCAGTTGAACAAACAGATAAAAATATCACAAAACTACGTTTCGAGTACATATCCACTGAACAGTACATCGAAATGTCAGAAGAACTCGAAGAACTATATAACAGCACAAAGACAATATCTGGCACACAGAAATTCCACAGTTTTGTGCCTATAACTGGTGACAAAGTGCGGCAAAAAGGTATTCTAATCCAGAAGATGAACCAAAAAGGAAAAAATAGCATGTATGAAAATAGGTTTAAAACATTGAAAATATATAAATAAATGACATATGAAAAATCTTGTCTTTTTTCTCTCACCTATTATCAAATTTTGCATCAGTAGTAGACAACAGAATAAGGAAATGATATTTTTTTGACAAGATCTACATGTCCAAATAGTTTTATTGAACTCTGAGAGGGTGCTGCCAATTCCAAATACGATTTGGCGAGAAATGCATCATGAGCCCTTTTCATATGAAATTCTCGATTAATCACTCTTAAGTGCTGATTAGACAAAATTGAATCGCAAATTGAGCTTCATTGGATTCTGAGATGATTTCGAGCTTCACTGGTTTAGTTTTGTGTGAAAATGGCATATAAAAAAAAAAAATCAGTTCAGACATAAAAAGTTTTTGTAAGAAAAACTGTTTTTCCTTAAAAGTGCCCATCTCGCGATGTATGGACGGTTGGTAGTGAACATAATTACCTATCTTGAGGCAAAGTTTCTTCCAAATCAAACATGGCCATTTCTAAAAATCGATTTTTTTTTCAGTGTAGGTGTCAAATGAAATTTTTTCAGTATTTGTTTTTTCGATAACTTGGACAATTTCCTAAAAGTCATCCATCCAACACATTTATGTTGGGGTTGTCATTTTTCAATAATATTTTTTTGAAAAAAATCGGCAGAAAAAGTTTTTGCCCTTCTCAAATGTTAGTCTAGATACATTTTGGAAAAACTAAGTATGCAAAGTGGCATATTTAGTCAAGGTCCACACATCCAGAAAGTTTCATTGAAATCTGAGAGGGTGCTGCCAGCTCCGAATACGATTTGGCGCGAAATGCGTCATATACGGGTTCATCTCTAAAAAACTTTTCGCTGATACTCTTTGAAATGTTTTTGATTTTATTGATGAAAGTCTCTAAAAGACAGAGTTTTATTTTGCACTGGCTTTCAACCTTAAAACTCGAAAAAAGTAGTGCAAAAAATCAAAAGCATCAAAATATCATATTGGAGTTTTAGGAATTGGACGAGTTTTAGGAATTGGACGAGTTTTAGGAATTGGATGAGTTTTAGGAATTGGATACCCTGACATTTTATACTTACCGACCAACATTCCGCATCGTAGCCATTGATGGCACATTCGATTCCATCCGAAACAAATTCTCCTATAGCTTCACCAAGATCCGTCGATCGAAACAGTGCGCGCAATATATTTAAAGAATGTGTTCGTGTTGGAGCAGTATGCCCAGTTCTACATAGCTCGATAAGTTTCCTCACTGTAAATTGTAGTCCTTTTGATGAGCTTACTTGAAGTTCAGAGGTTATAAGCGCTTGCATCATGTATGGAATGCCAGCACTCCGTCTGGTTGAACATATTTTGTTTGGATTAAGGTTAGTATCACCATTTTCATTTGAACCATCGCTATTAATCACATTGATCATTTCATGTAGCCACTTCATGGGCAATTGATGTAATTCGGCGAGCTGTGAACCCCAAAGACGAATGCATAGTTTAGAGAAACCAACATATGCTTGCTCAAAAGCTCCGCGGTGCTTGGTTTCCGATAAAAGTTGTGTAAAGTGGGAGCCAATCTCTATAATTCGATCACAGGTCAAAAAATTAGTGTGATCATCCGCAGTTTCAGAGACTATGAAATGTTGGTTTTTGATTATTGGGCTTCTGAAGACAACGTCTCCAATTATCAAAGATACTTCTTTTATTGTGCGCCATGCACTTAGTAGTACCATCTGAGGGGTGGTTTTTAAGAAAACATCACTTTCATCTGTTATTTCCAAATCACTGGACGTTCCTATCGATTGCATTTCTACGTCTTCTTCGAAACCATAATTTTCAATTGTACTGAAATCGTTTGGCAAATGTCCTTCAGGAGATGCATTGTTGACTACAATTGAAACTACTTGGGTCAGTTCTCGGCAGGTCATGACAAGTTTTGTGATAAACTTGGCCCAGTAGTAACATTTGGAAATTTCCTTAAAGTCGAGTTTGCTCAGTAGATGTCGTATACAAGCCAGCGATCCAAACATAGGATTTTCTCGAGCTGCGCGAATCAGCGATGCTTTGGCAAGGACCAAACTTTGCTGGAGAATTTTTTCACACCATAGTAGAGTCGAGTGTACCTATTGGGAAATAGTAAAATAATTAGAAACGTCACCCTGATTCAAAAATACCCATATTGTGGGGTATTTTACAGTATTTCCCAGTTTTGATGTAACCGGAAGCTGCTATCTTGGATTTCAAAATGACGTGAGACATGAATTTCAGGCGACAACGAAACCTTACCCCCAAGCTCCTCCCCTGATCCTATCCTCCTACTAGACATAGAATTAATTGATTTTTTTTACAAACAAAGAACTATCAGCTCCGTAAAGCTAACACGATTGAGCCTTCCAAATAAACGAACAAGTTAAAAAAAAAGGTCCCTACACATCACTCCGATTTCAAAAATATGCATATTGTGGGGTATTTGCCAGTGTTTCCTAGTTTTTTATGTAACCGGAAGTTGCTATTTTGGATTTCAAAATGACGTGAGAAATGAGGTTCAAGTTCCTACAAGTCACCCGATTCGAAAAATACGCATATTGTGGGGTATTTAACAGTGTTTCCTAGATTGTTTGTAACCAGAAGCCATTATCTTGGATTTTAAAATAGCGTCAGACTTCAGGTCACCGTACCAAAAATAACTCACTGAGAAATTGTATGGACTGCCGGAAACCATGTAGAAGTGTTGTATACAGATTTCAGCAAAGCGTTTGACCGAATTGACATACCTATGCTTCTTTTTAAACTTCAAAAAATGAGAATTCATTACGCACTCCTCTAGTGGTTTGAATCATATTTAACTGACCGCCATCAAATAGTAAAATACAAAAGAAAGACATCAAATCCCGTTGATGTCACTTCAGGAGTTCCTCAAGGCTCCCATTTAGGTCCGCTTTTATTTATTCTCTTCGTCAATGACATATCTTTCATTATTAAGAAATTGAAAGTTTTAATCTTTGCTGACGACATTAAACTTTTTTTGGAAATAAAAGATGCCAAAGACATCATCACATTCAAAGAGGAAATATTCCGTACTTGGTGTCATAAAGCCTGCTACAATTAAATATAAAAAACGTAACTCTATTACCATTAATAGAAAACGAATCCTACCCGATATAACTATTACTATCACTTGGAAACCAGATCGAAGAAAAGTGTGAATGAGTCAGATATCTAGGTGTTATTTTGGACTCAAAACCAGTGTTGGAAAAGTTCGCGATATTTCTCGAAGTTCTCCATGGGAAAAGTTCGCGAGTCATAGTGATTTTTTGCGAACTTTTCCATCACTGCTCAAAACTTACTTTCACAGATCATTATAACACAATTATTAACAGAGCTAGCAATATGCTTGGTTTCATAAAACGTTTTTGTTATAACTTTCACGATCCGTATACGATAAAAACATTATACATTGCTTATGCAATTTCATATTAGAATATTGCAGCATAGTTTGGTCTACTTTTTCAATTACACCCGAAGAAAGAATAGAGTCCGTTCAAAAGCAGTTTCTATTGTATGCACTCCGCAAGTTAGGTTGGACTGTATTTTCTCTGCCATCTTACACAGCTCGGTGTATGCTCACAAATATCCAAACATTAAAAGAGCGTCGTGAATTTGCTTATGATTTCATTCGTAAACGATACCGTATCACATAGCATTGATTCAATAGAACTATTGACATCCTTAAATTTATATACCCCATCTAGGCATTTACGAAATTGAAATATATTTGCTACAAATCGTCATCGTGGGAATTATGCCAAATTTGGACCCATGAACCAAATGGTGGACATATATAATAAGCAATGCGATAACATTGACTTTACAATGACAAAAACCAAATTTAAGCAATATTTTAATTCCTCGCATAACGTCAGTTAGAAGTAACATTTTTAACTTGTTCTCAAGAATTATTATAAAAATAAAAACAAAGACAAACTTGTAAAATTAGCACTTAAGACAACAATGTTAAAACGGTCTACACTGATTGACGACAAATAAATAAATAAATAAATAATAAATAAATAAATAAAATGTGAAATGGTTTTCCAAGAAATGGTAAAATCCATAAAATGTTTCACATCGCCAAATATTATTCCATGAAATATTCGAACGTGAAAATAAATTCGGTGAAATGGTTTTCGGCAAAACGATATACAATTGTAACACTATGGTATTATCGAATAAGAAAACATATGATTGAAGTCTGTTTTGTAATACCAAACAATTACACTGTAGTCCGTTTTTTAGCGGGGGATATGCTGCGTTAAACCCAAGCCGAGTAAAAAACTAACGCATAAATTCGAAAATCCACGTAACAAAAATATAAAAAAAAAAAACAAAAATGAATAAAAGCATTTCTGATCAAATTTAAGCGATCCTGCGTAATTCAAAAATCCGCGAAGAAAAAGCTGTGAAAAAAGCGCGTAACCGGGTAAAAAGCTACCACTTGGCAAAGTTCCGGTTGACATAATGCCATTTGGCATAACGCCGTAAGCATAGTGGCCATTTAGCACGGCATTATGCCAAACTGAGTAGAGGCTATAAGACTCATATAAACCACCAAGAAATGTTGTGGTGTCAAAATCTAATTTATAAATGGATTTTACTTGCCAAAGCTGTGAATTGTCCATTATGTATACTCTCGATGGACGTATAACTGCCCTGTGCTGTCCTATGCTGTCTACCGACAGTAGAGAAATTCAAAATTGAGAATATTATGGTCATGGCTTACCTTGGGCTGTATAGTTGATAAGGGTTCATCAGTAACAGATGGGGGCTGAATGTCCGTGTTAACAAAGCACAAATACTCAAGGTAATACGCTGCAGATAATGTATCGTTGGGTTTTATGCTAGTCATTAAGGCTTTTGCGACATCGTAGTTGATTAGATAATTAAAATTTCCAAAATAATCCTTTGGGCAGTACAATAACACATTCATGCAATATACTTTGTTGGCCTCGTAGCTATCATTCAAAGACCTCAAAAGACTATGCACCTGCTGCTCATTCCACATGTTTGAGTTTTCATCGTCGTAAAATATATAACTAGATATTTGCAGCAACTGTATCAACACTTGAAACGATATCGTTCGTCGACTATAATTGGCACCAACAAACAGATTGTCTATGCAAAAATGATGCAATCTTTTCACGAAATCGTAGTAGTAATGGCTCTTACCGTCGATGTCAGACTTTTTGATTATGCTGAGAAATCCTGACTTAAGGCGGTTCAATGCATTTTTCATGTAACACGTAATTTTTTGTCTTAGTGAAGGTGCTTGTACATTGATGTTGGTCTCTAAAAAGAACAAAACGCATTCGAGGTCTTCTTTGGTAAAAAGCTCTGTGCTTTTATGACATTCTGTTAATAGATGCAATGCAGACATTCTTGTCGAGTCGTCTGCAGATATCATAGCGAGCTTGATTTCTGTATACGGAAGGAGATTTTTCCACTTTGTATCATTAGAATGAAGTTTGTCGAACAGACCAGTCTTTTTCGCTATTCCCAGAGATGTTAGGATAAGACCGAAATTGGTTGTAGTTTTACTCTCGATCATACATATTGCGATCTCGGGATATGATTTGATAGCCTTCCGAATAAGATCGAAGAGTATTTGCTTAACGGCGGTGTTGTTTTCGTTATTACTGATTTCAATCAATATAGGATTAATCCACTTATTGAACCATTCCTGCTTGTTGTCTTCGTATCTGTACGACATCATCAGTGTTTCGTAACAATTATTAATGTGCAAGTTGATATTTGCATGATCATTAGCTGTTAATGATTTCAAAAGGAAATCTATGACATTGGGTACAGCTTGCAGTACGGCTTTTGATTTCACTATAGAACAAATAGCGCCTATCAAAATGCATTTCGTGTTTATATTGATGCTTATGTTCCTTATGTAATCGTATATAATGTGGTTCAATTTGTCATTAACTTTGACACCCAGTTGGATTGTTAGCCTCAAGAGTTCCTTACAAAGATGGCGTACATTATCCATATAATGATCTAGATGAGACAGTGAATATCCTAAGTTTACAGCTAACACTTCAATCAGCTCACGATGATCCCGTTTTAAGTATTCGAATATTTGCAATGACAGAAGCCTTTTCGTCATTTGTAGAAAACCTCTCGATACTCCTAATATGATGGTTGGTTCTATGGAATTCTCTTCGGAGATTTCTTTCAGTACATTTGCCGTACGTGAAATTATTTTGAAACCTTGGAAATCCGGTTCGTTAAAGAACTCCGTTTCGATAGTGCAAATTATACCGTTCAGCAAACATAGCTTTTTTGTAGAATTTTCTTCCAAGAATATACGCTCTGTTAATCGTAAATATCGCTTTTCCAGATTGGCATTCATAGTAATCAATATTCCACAGTTGATTTTCGTGTCCATAGGAATTTCGGGATTTTCCAACAGATCCCAACATATAAGAATGAGCTTTTCTACATTTTTCTCGCCTTCATATGTGGTTCTAATGGTGGTAGAAAATTGATTGAAGCAAGAAATAACAACACGAACTGTTATATGTATAAAAAGACTGATCTCACTTTTATCCGATGGTGATATATTTTGACTGAAATAAAAAAAAAAATTATAAAAATTTAAGCATCTAGAAATTTTTTTTGAATTAATTTATTTAAATGGTTCAATGGATTTTGGCAAAGATCATTATTTGACTAATGGCTTCAACTAGGTACGTTTAACGTTTTATGCTAACCTCAAGTTTACCCTTTCCAGCCCAGAAGTCTTTTTGGTTTTTTTTTTACTTTGATATATTTTCCGTCGATCTTGTTTTTCGTAGTGAGTACCCATACTACCGACGCCAGGGAGGCAAATCCTACATTTGGACCCAAGCGACACGCAAGTTTTATAACCGTTGATATGACTGGATTTGGTTGTCTAGTCTAGTCTAGTCTAGTCTACACATACACAGCCAGTACTTGAAAGAATCCTGGAAAATGATACATCTATCATTTTTCTTGTCATTATTAATGCCTGCTGCACATCAAGGATGTGAAACAAACAATAAAGCGGCCAGGCCTACTGTGTAGCGTTTAGTTAATTTTTGTGGAAGTGAATGTTTACCATGTCTATTTAATAAGTATAGACAGTGGTTAACATTTAATCCACAGGTAATCAAAGAGCGGGGACATACCGTACCAACCGCTCCGTATGCAGGATTTGAAAATAGGCTATATAAATCGTTGGGAGTGACAGAGCTAAGAAAGTTAATGTACACTCCTTGGTTGTCCGATCTCCTGGGATGGAACACAGGTATTTACCCCTTGTGTTCGAGCGTACAGTCCTACCTCCGTACAAGCGTGGAGGGCACCGCCAACCCACTGCCATCCCTCAATCGATCCAGCCGACCTCAGTCGAAGGACAACAGAGAGCGGTGTGCGGACGTAACCTATACGGAGGGAATGCTGTATTCGCCTAGGTTATAGCGCCCTTGCTCGCTACCATTTTCTTCTAGCGGTTGGGACCTGAGCACTAACTCTTGTCCTAGCCCTATATGGCATATGGTTATAGCGCCATTACTCGCTTTCTGAAAAGAGAAGAAGGGAAGGGAAGGAGAGGAAAAGGACTTGGGAAAAGGAAATGCGGAATTCCTTGACTCATTAGTATTTGTATCGTCAACTTTTATGAAAATTATATAAATCATTTTTCCTTGGTCAGAGGTATTATTACGACATTTTAATAAGATTGTCTTATCATTTGTTATTCAAAATTTAATGTTATAATGATCAACATAGCTTTGGATTATCCAATATATTTCATAATTAAAAAAAAAAAAAAAAACATTTTTTTAGCTGAAATGAGTATTTGCAACCTTGTCATACAGATCTGAAAATTAAATCAGTAGCTTGCTTCTCTGCATCAGACATGCTTAGACGGCTTAGACTGACTCCACAAATCAATGGTTGCTACTCCGTGATTGACCAGAATCAGTGAAATTGCACAGTGAATGGGGTTAGGAGTGACCGAAAATTCTCATTGTAGGGGAAATGGCTCTAATGTTGGCCTATGGGTTTAAGATTAGGCCCATAGCTAAAAATCTGCTTTTTATCAGTTTTATCTAGATGAACGCGTCATTGGGACGGTACTAATGGATATTTTTGATCGCTATTGAAAATTTAATCGATTGCTGAATTTATGTATGGGTCCTCCTCGTACACCTCTACCAAAACCAAAACGTAATTATTTTTCGGAGCCGTGAACTTCCCCTTAACTGGATATCTGTGTGTGTGTGAGTTTGTGTCTTCACGCCAGCTGATCAGAGTTCAACAGTGGAAGTACGGAAAAAATCAAGTCTGCATTATCGATTTATTTTCATTAACACCAGCAATGTCTAGAACCCAACACACAACTTGTTGTCATATATAAATTTGAATTATTCGCATAATAAAATAAAATATGGAATGATCTCACCGAGCTCTCAAAAATGACATAGTCTAAATCGCAGAGTCTTTGTTTTGTAAGCAGCAGAAACAGAAGAGCAGCAATGCCTCTACCGATAGATGTGCCGCTGGCCGTCTTCGACCTCCTTCTTTATCAACTCGGAAATTCAGCTGCTTCGAAAAATCAGAGGTACCTAACCAAAATCGTGAAAGCACCGCTACACTTCGCAATCCGTAAATTTTACTCTTGAACCGCGCACTAGAAAATGCTACTTTCACGACTGAACCGAAAATTAATGAAAACCCGTATCACAGCACTGGAATTCAGTTAAAAATACACATAGAAATAGCCTTCAATTTTTATACTCACGCACTTTTTAGAAAAATTTTATCAAGCGCCTCATCAAAAAATCGAAAAAAAAACGCGATGAAAAAGATGACAACTGAAAATTTTTCACGTCCGTTTAGAAAACACTTCGATCCTATCTCATAAACTAATATACGCAAGATTTAAAAACCGCCTTGTGTATTCTTTTTCAACTGTAAGAAAAGCATCACCAAACAGCTTGGCTCCCAATGACAGTTCCTAACCGTTGATATGACTGGATTTGGTTGTAAAGAAGTTTACTCATCTTAATTTCATGAATATGTGTTACTTTGGTAACTATCCACTCATCAACTCATGGACCCGGGACCAACGGCTTTACTTCAGAGTTTTTATGCCTCAGAAAATCCTGACGGTACCGACTGGTTTTAAAAGCAGACCCAGGAGTTAGAGGCAGGTACGCTTACGGCAACACCACCAACGCCGCTAAGGTTTTTTCGTCGTATTGATATGCAAAAAAAGTGTTCTTGAAAAAAAAAGTGGTGGAACAAAAGATGTGCCATTCATCCTAAATTTATCATATTTGTACAAAAGAGTTTTTGTTTCAAAATCTTTTATATATATATTATTATTTATCTTTTTTTCCCACTGTGTTCTTCCAACCAGAACGGTTGATAAACTATCGACTAAACTATGCGCTCCGGAAATTTCGAAGTGTTTTACCACTCGGTTAATTAGATTTCGACAGTTTTTTTTTCCCTTGGAGGGTTTTTTTTTTCTAGTAGTGTCATTAGTGCGCATATCAGGAAGAAGGAAACTTTCTCTAGTGATCGAAACTTTAAAGAATCCAGTGAAATTAGTGAATCGTGGCCATTTTCGCGTCATCGGTGCGTGGTGTCTTCACGCACCACACCACGAAGCTCGTCGTCGAACGCGCATACAAGGTTACCCCCGCTGCTCATCACCGTGCTTCCTGCCACGCTTCCCGCAGTCCCGTGGCTCGCCGTTCGGCTGGTGTGCTGTTTGCTGCCTGGTCGCCAGAATATTATTGCTGCTAGATAAGTTTTTGTGTTTTATTTCTCTCTCCTCTCTCCTAAGTTGAAGATCCATTTGGTGCTTCTGTTATAAGTATCTGTTTTGTGTATTGTGCTTGTTTCGGATTCAAGTCGCGTGGTAGAGCGTTCTCGCTCCCACTAATACAGCAATATGGACGCGATGTCAGATGAAATCGCGGACATTTTGTCGGACGACGGCTCCCCGTCACCTCAGACGCAAACCCTCCACCGAAATCGTGCCTACCCGAGTGACTCGGTTGGCCCATGGGTTGTCTATTTTCAGCCCAAAAACAAACCCTTAAATGTGAAATGTTCTTAATATCAAGACTTTTCGGATGAATCACTAGTAGGTAGTGGTTTTTCTTTTATTAATTTGTTTTGTCAAGGATGAGAACAACGGAAACGATTAAATCTAAAAAAAACGTTCATCAATGAGTTTAAGATAAATTAATAATAATGTTGAAAATTAATATAAGAATACTTTAAAAAAAAGCATGGCTCTCCAATTTTAAGATCAGAAGAATTATAAATCATAGAAGGCCGAAAATATATTAATTGTACACTCGCTATGTGATAAATATTTCTTATATAAACTAATTATAAAAGTGATAGACATTTCTTATATAACTAATAATACATTTGAAGTGTATCATTCGCTAGTTTTTCGTGACTTTTAATTATTGCAATACATTGAAATATAAACGCCTCTCATAACTAGTTTAATCTAGTGGAGTTCCAGTTTAAGAATATTCGGTTTACAATCGTTCACTTGGCAAACTTTAAGTGTACTTCTTCCTGAAATATTGCTTAAATATAGCCTATCCTGGACGATGTGTCTTGGATACAAGCTCTTACTTGAACTCTTTACTTAACTCTTTTATTTGTGGTTCGAAAAGGACCGATGGGTTGAAAGCTTAGAAGTCAGTTTAGAACAATGCTGTGGAATAATTTCCTCGATGTTCTTGGAGATGATAGCGGTGCTCATGTGTTGTACCTGAATCGATTGGTGAACATTTTGGTGAAGGGCAATGGCATAGTAGTCCTCAATTGATGTTCTTGGCGAATTAATACGTAACAAACAATGTACAAAATTACAGCGAAGCAAGAGTTTTGAAACATTCCACGTGCTTGCCATTGTCCATTGCGTTAAGAATGAAGGTTACAAAATTCAAGAAGATTAGAGCTAGATTAACGACTTTCAAAAAGCCGTGCTGTTTTTTTGTGATTTGATTTTTTACTTGCTGAAATTTTTTATCGTTTACGATTGATTCAATTTTTTCAATTAGAATTTTTCTTTCTTATTTGTCTTTTCAATTGTTGCTTCTCGATTCTTGTTTTGTTTTTTGTCTTCTTTTCCTGATTTTCTGAAAAATTTCTCTTCAAATTTCTCGCAAAGCTTTCCTGTAGTTCTGAAATTTCCCAGAATATATATATATTCATATATATATATATATATACATATGTTAATTAAAAATTATAAAAATTATGTATATCTATGTATGTG